ACACCAGTGGAAGCCCTTAATGACTACACAGCAGAGAGAGAAACCAACTCCAGGAGCATACTCTGAGAGGCTTCCAGTCCCGCTGCTCAGCATGAAAGTCCCACCAGGGTTCAGTCAGCCTGTGTGTTCTGAAGGAGTTCCCGGATGTGAAGCCAGGTGCAGCATCTCAATGAGCCCCTGTGGCTGGTGTGGCACCTCTGGGTCTCACGCACAAATCACTGCCAAGAGGCCTTAAGGAAGCAGCTTCTTTCAGACCAAAGCCCTTTACTTTCCACAGAACAATCTGCCTTTCACACCCTCAGCATTTGTGTGTGAGGGCACTTTCACTGGCCACACTAGCAAATCCAGCGTTGGAATTCTCGGCGAAACCCTTCGCAAGAGCCCAGCAGCACTTCCTGAGAGCACACGGAAAGAGGAGACCCCGCGCGCAGGTCTGCTTCAGCGGCCTGATGGCCAAGGGACAGTTCCTTTTAAGAGGATGCTCTGCCAGTCCAACAGGTTAACGTGGACAGATAAAGGCGCACACCAATGTCATGTAAAATTAACTGTAAATAAAACTTAAAAATGAGCTATGCAGGGGTGCACCTGTAACCCTAACTCCTTAGGAGACTGAGGTAGGAGGACTGAAAGGCTCAGGCCAGCTTGAATTTTGCCAAGTGTTTGCAAAGTGTGACCTTTGGGCCGGTCAGATAGCTCAGAGGATTAAAGTGCCTGCTTAGGCAGATGCAGGGACCTGGTTTGATCCCTGATGCTGTGCTGAGATGGTGACTGGGAGACTGAAAACAGGAGGGGCACCTTGAGTCTGAGTCTGATCTATGTAGTGAGACCCTGTAGAAAATGCATTAAAAAGAACAAAGTGTGACCTTTGCTGCTAAGTATTTAGTCTTGGGTTAACAGAGGGAGACCCAGTTAAAAAAAAAAGTAAAACTAAACAATAATTCAAATGTGTAGGGGCCAGGGAGATGGCTCAGTAGAATAAGTGCTTGCCTGGCAAGTACAAGGCCTCAGTTCAATCCCTGGTTCTGCCAAAAAATAAATTAATAAATAAATAAAAGTGTAAGAAATTTCAGCCCACTGCAAAAGGACACAGAGCATAAAGGCCACTAAGGATGCACCGCTACACATAGGGAGCTGGGTAACAACAGGAGAAAAAGGAAAAGACCGCAGCGGCCCACAGAATGCCTGCACACTGGTGCCAGCATCAGTGTCCTGGGCTCGACTCACACACCACAATTACTGCAGTGTGAGGGAGGCACAATGCAAAGCTGCGCGTCAGCTGGACAGTGAATTGCTTCGAAACCCAGCCACACTTTCCAACTACCACAAAATATCCCCTCAGGCTTGAAGAAGCTTTACTATACAATTTAGAACACTTCCTTCTGCCAACTGAAAGAAAAAAAAAAAAAAAGCTTTCAGTTAAGCCTGCTTCGGCTCTGTGAAAGCCTCTTCCATGGACGACTTCCCCCAGACCTATTGAGACACACAGCCATTGTCTCCATAGAACAGTAAAATGTTTCCTAGGCTAAACGGCAAATCAAAATTCACTTCAAGGGCCAGGGAGATAGCTCAGCGGCTTAAGTGCTTGCATGGCACTCAGTACTTTAAAAAAAAAAAAAACTTCAAATATGTGAGATGAGACCTTAGTTCATTTTCAGGATGTGGTATTAATGATAGTCAGTAATCTTTCAAAGACAAACCTTCAAGTCATTATGATTAGTAACTTCTTTCTGTGGTACTGCAGATTGAACTCAGGCCCTCTACACTGCACTACATCCCCAGCCCATTTTTATTTTTTACTGTGAGGCAGGGTCTCACTAATTCAAACTGCCTGGGGTAGGCTGTAACTTGCACTGCTCCTGCGCCAGCCTCTCAGAATGCCCGAGGCATTACCTAGCGCCCCACCACACCCAGCTGCAATTATTCCCTGGTGAGCTGTACCTGCAGCTGTGCCAAGTCTTTAACAGCCTCATCTCACCTGATCCTGCCATCAACTGTAAACGTCACTATCCTCTTATCCTCCCTACCGTGGTGCTCACCAAACAAAGTGACTGCCTGGATGGGCAAAGCGCCATCCACAAGGCAGAGTTCCAGAGCCTAAATGACCTCCAATACCTTATCATAAAAGTCTACTTGGTCAAGAGTCAACCGTTCACAAAATACATTTATCTTAAAACCACCTCCAATCCAAACCTACACAAGCCATTCCCACGCAGGTGTAACCACTAGGGCCAAACTTCAGCTGTTTGTCCTTTTACCGTCCCTTCAGAAACACACACACAACCTGGGCAACAAGATTTCCCAAGCGTGACCCTGCCCAGGTGAGTTGGTATGTTGGCAAGTTCCGTTTCCTGGTTTTATTTCATTTTTAGTTTCCTGGTTTTAAAAGCACCACGCCCAAAAGAACAAACTACTGTTGAGTAATTTAAATATGGGGTCTAATCAAGTGAACCCCTTAATATTTCTGTAAGGTTCTTCCCGTGAAGGTTGCTTTTACTTAAAAAAGAAAGTCCTGCTAGATTGACTTTTCTCTATAATAACCTAGAAGTCTCTACACGAAGGAAACGAGAGAGGCTGCCCACAGAATCTGTGGAGTCACCAGAGTAAAACACTCATTCGCTGCTCTTTCCTCCACTAAAAAGTAGTTTATTTTTATTAAGATGCTACCAATAAAGCTATCACACTCTGTTCTTATTGAAACACAACAGCCACCTATTACAAAGTAACTTGTAGGCACTTACACAAGAGAAAAATACACCTATCATTTTATTATTAAGCTCTAAAGATGCCCTGCTGACAACCAACAAAAGGTCTCCCAGCAACGGAAAAGCAGAGAAACTAAGCAAAGATTTTCTTTCTTTGGAGACATCAAACTCTCATTCAGTCAAGAAAGATGGATTTTGTCACTTATTATTCTCTAAAATGGAAAAATGCCACATGGAGAACATAAATAGGGTAAATCGCATCTAGCAGCAACATGCTATGTGCCAAGTTACAAAGCCTGTGAATACAAGGGGTGTATTAATGGAAAGACTGATACCATCTTACTACAGTGGCCTCTCTGTGGCTCCAGACAATGATCTGTTGAGGGTTTTCCAGGGATTTTGAATATGCAACCTCCATACAAGCTCCCTTTTTAAGGGGGCTGGCTCAGGGCTGAGCAATTCCTCCAGGGAAAGAAAGCCAAGAGCCCCCACATGGGCTTAGGGGTAGCAGCAGCTTGAGTTGTAGGCGTGGAAGATGCAGAGACAGAGGGGTGGTAGGTGGGCTGGGAAGAGCTGCAGGAGCCTGGGCCCACCGTCCTGCTGGAGACCCAGAGGGGCGCACTTCCAGAGAGGCCCCAGGCGCGGGAGAACCGAAAAGAAGGAAGCTTATACTGCTAACCTACAAGGGAGAAGAAGTCAGTCACCCCTGAGAGGCGACCACAAGCGAAGTGTGGGGCAAGAAAACCAGATGGGCCGGAATGTGTCTTCCCAGGAGGGGGCTGACCCTTGACTGTCATTAAGAGGTGGGCTTAGCAGGGGCGCCCAACTCCCATTTTGTCTCCCCCCCCCCAAAGCTTCAGGAGTGCAGCGGGGTAAGGACACTGGGGCAAAGCCAGCCAGCCACATGGGAACTCACAGAGTCCCTTCTTCCTCGAAGGGAGAAGGGCACACAGCATGGAAAAAAGGACCCCGCTGCCACCCACGGGACCGGGCCGAACAAGCCTTGGGGGACCTCCGCTGCGGCCGCTCGCTCAGCAGAGGGAAGGCCCGCTCCAGAAGCGCTCTGGGGACCCCCAGGCACACAGACCCTCCCCACCTCCTCCTGGCCAGACCCCCTACAGCCCGTCCTGGAGTCGACGACAGATCCCGGGCCTCCCGAGCCATCTGGCAACTCGCTGGCTCTAGACCCGCACCCCGCTCGTCCACTCAACCCCCCGAAACCTACTTTCAGACCGCCCGGGACTCCGCACCGCTTCGCTCCAGCCTCCCCCGCAGCCACCCCGAATCGTCCCCGCCACTCGGACCAGCCAGTTCCGCCGGCCCCAATCCAATCTCGCTTCCCTCAATTCCCTCCGCACGTCCGCGCCTCCGCTTCCGCCGCAGCCCCGGGCTCCCACACCCCCACAGCAGGTCTAGACTCCCCGCTGTACGCCCACCGCGGGTCCTCGGTCTCCCGAGCCGCTCTCGCGACCTTTTCCTGCCGGAGCCCCCACGAACCTCGACTCGACTCCCCACGCTCGCCCGAGCCCCCGTGGCGGCCACCAGGCCCCGAACACCGCCCCGAGCGCCCCCACTGCCCACCGGGTCCCCCCGACACCACTCGAGCCCGCGGTCGCCTCCGCCCAGGGCCACCGCTCAACGCGCGCACCCCGCTGGGCCCCACAGGCGCCGCCCCGCGCTCACCTCCTCCATCTTCTGCACCATCTCCGTCAGCTGGCCCTCGTCCTCCAGCAGCTCGTTGAGCTGCACCAGCGACAGCCCGGCGAACCGAGCCTCGCCCGCGGCGCCCGCCATCCCCGCGTCCTGGCTGCAGCGGCCGCCGCTCGGGCCGCCTAGCTCCGCCGACCGGAAGCGCCGCCCTCAAGCCCGCCCCCCACGGGGGGGCACGTGACGCCAGCCGCGGGGCGTGACGTCATCCTCAAGCGGCGGGGCGGGCGGACGTGACGTAGCGGACGGCAGAGGCTGGTGGCCAGCGTGTGCGGCGCAGCATCTGGAAGTCTGAGGCTTCAGAAGGCTAGGAAAGAGGTCTGGGGTCTCGCTCGTGACGTATAATGCCGCTGTGACATCACAGCGACATGAGAGTCCTTCATGATGTCACAAGAGCCTTTTCTTGTTTTAGGACTCGAACTCACGTGCTAGGCAGGCGCTGTGCCACTGAGCTATATCCCAGGCAAACGCCTTTTTCTGCAAGGGAAAGAATCATTAATGTGTAAAGAATGCTGGCCATGCGAAGTCCCCGCAGGCCGTGTCAGCCCTCACCCAGGGAACCTGAAAGAAGGGGCCTTAATAGGGACACAATTCGAAGTGGCGTTTAGTTCTAGCCTGGGCATTCATTTAAGAAATACTTGTTAAAATCAGTGTGACTTGGGCCAGCCAGATAGCTCAACAGACCAACGCACCTGCTTAGGCAAATGCAGGGACCGAGGTTCACTGTGCCAGCCCCACCCCTGAGCGCGCTGAGACAGCCCCTGAGACTAGGCGTGGTGGCGGGTGCCTGTAATCCCAGCGCTTGGGAGGCGGAAAACAGGAGGATCCTGCCAGTCGGATCTGTGTAGTGAGACCCTGTAGACCCTGTACTAAATCTATTTTTTAAAAAAATCAATGTGCTCTAGGCATTGGGTTAACGGTTCTGTACAAAGCAAAATGATCCCCACCTGCGTGGAGCTAACAGACAGGGGACCCAAACAAATGCAAGAAACAGAGAAAATTGGTTTTATCATGGGAGAACTCAGAAGGAAATAGATGGGACCGGGGAGATGGCTTAGTGGATTAAGCGCTTCCCTGGCAAGCACAAGAGCCCGAGTTCAATCCCCAGTTCTAAAAAAAAAAAAAAAAAAAAAGAAGGAAATAGATGAACTAAGAAGAGGAAGACCTCCTTTAGAGAGAGCCAGGATAAGAAGGCCCCCAGGGAGGGCACCTGAGGCCGGTTGAAGAATGAGAAGGAAAGATCTGGCCACCGCTCTTGGAGGAAGCTTAAGGCAGCAAGTCCAGCATGTGCAAAGGCCCTGGGACAGGACTAGCTCGGTACAACTGCGGAAGAGTAGAAGCCAGCGTGGCTGGAGCCCGCATCCAGGACGCAGGTGAGCGGCCAGACACCCGCAAGCCCTGCTGTGCGTGCAGAGCAAGCCGCCCAGTCTCCCTGGCTACACAGAAGCCTCCGGAGATCAGGAGGCTGGGGAGTCATCATGCTTTGGATAGGCTGCTGTGTTCTTGGAAGAAAGCAAAGGCTGAGGCCAACCACCGCGGCCCCCTCATTTTACACAAGGGGAAACTGAGGCCCTGCAGGAGGAAGTATTTTTCTCCTCAAATAAATAATTGGCAGGTCTTCTGGCTCCTGGCCTTCCTGGCACAGGATCCACCGTGCTGGCGTTACCACACGCTGATGTCGTTGCATAACTCAGCTCTGAACACAGTCAGGGCATTCAGTGCGTGCTCATCGACTGACTGACGGGCTTTGTGTGTCCAGGCGACGTGTCCCGACTCCATCCACAGAACATAAGCCCTGAGATGCGTCTGCCCATCTGTACGGCTGGGCTCTGCTGGCCCTGTGTCCGTCTAGCTCCTTGGACTGAGGACGTACAATTGGAGAAAAAGGAAATTTATGATAAAAGGAAAGTCATACTATCTGTAAGCAAGAAAAGTTTCCTTTAGTTCCAAAGAGGTACTCTTCACTTTCTCCCTCCCCCCCCCTTTTTTTTTTTGGAGCCAGGGTGTCACTTTGCAGCCCAGGCTGGCCTCCAGTTCACACCAGTCCTCCTGCCTCAGCCTCCTGCGTGCTAGAATTGCACGCATGCACTGCCGTGCCTGGCTTCTCTTCCTTTTAATGTATCCTATTTGGTCGAGAAAGATGACCTTGAGGAGAAGAGGTCACGATACATAGGGAAGGGGATGAAAGCAGCTGTGTTTATTACACTCCGGGTAATAGTGGTTTTCTCTGCAGGAAAAAAACAGTCTGTTAGCCTGAGAACTGAAGTTGCGTCTCTAGGAAATTCGGATCTGTGCGGCACAGTGAGGAGCTCCAGAAGTTATTTACAGTCCTCTAGAAGAGAAGGTCAGGGCTCGGAGGGTTCAACGGAAGGCAGTGAAATGGCCAAGAACAGACACTGCGACGCGCCTGTCCCCCCAGGGAACTTTATACAGGTCCACACCCCAGCCTCGGGGATCCTTGCCTGAGTCTTCTCAGACCTCTTTTCTGCCACTACCTTATTCAACTCACATGCCACTTCCTTTGTCAAACAGAGCAAACTGCAGAAATCTTGTTTTCTGCTGCTCAGAAAACTTACCCTTACCTAAAGTTGCTAGGAGAAGAAAAGAAAATCAGTGACAATCTCCTCTGTGCGGGTGTTAGACTTACCAGGAAATGCCTGGCCGGGCTGGTAGCCGCTTCTCTCAGAGACACACTGTCTTCCTCGCTGCACCTCCGTCTGCTGTCATGTTTGTGGGTCACAGGAACACTCGCTGATGAATCCAGGACAGTGTGTGTGTGCCAAGGGAGACTTGGCACTCAGTGGGGACATTGTTGCTCCAGGAGCAGGGGGCTTTCCTGCTCCGCCCTATCAGGAGCTGCTCAGAAAGAACATTTGGAAGACAGACCTAACCTTCGTGTAACAGAACCCTCAGATCCTCTGGCCTCAGGTTAGAATTCTTCCTGTCAGGGACAGGTAGAATCATTGACCCTTGTCCCCAGCTGAGGAGCTGGAAGCGTCCACAGGCCCGGGCTCCTGGGCGGGGTCGCAGCAGGTGAGCAGCCTCTCCCTGCCTGACCTCACCGCTGAGGTCACCAGTCACCTCTGAACTGTCATGCACATGCCTGAGAGGACCTCCTCGCTACTCACCCAGAATTAAGCAGGGAAGAGGATGTGCGGAGGTGGGCGATTTTGGTTTGGATTTCACACGTTGGGGATTTCTTTTTTCTTTCCTGAGTTTCTTATTTCCGTCCCTTTGGTAGAGTGAACTGTTTCAGGCACACAAAAGAGAGACCACCTTGGCCGTGTCCTCCACAGGTTAGGGAGTGGACACCATGGCGCACGGGAGAGCTCGCCCCATCTCCTCCCCCCGCCCAGGGGTGCCTGCTGCCCTGTTTTATCAAGTTACCTCCTACGAGCCCACCCTCTGGGTTTGTAAGCGCAGGAACACACACACGCTCTGCCACTTGCTGGTTTTTATCAATGGTGGGTTTTGTTTTGTTTGTCTCACTATGTAGGCCAGGCTGGCTTTGGTTTTTTTTTGTTTTGTTTTGTTTTTGCAGAACCGGGGATTGAACTCAGATCCTTGCGTTTGCCAGTCATGCGCTTATCCTACTGAGCCATCTCCCCGGCCCCTGCCAGGCTGGCTTTGAACACGCTGTGTAGCGCAGGCTGGTCTCCAACTCATAGTGATCCTCCTGCCTCTGCCTCCCGAGTGCTGGGATTGCAGGCATGCGTCACCGCAGGCACTGCGGTGTCTGAGATGACAGGCTTGCTGGCATACATGGATCAGAACACGTTTTTCATACCCATGTAGTTGGACATAGATGTGCTTATTTCCTTGTTTTGCAGTACTGGAGAGTGAATCCAGGGCCTTCACACTGAGCTACCCTCCAGCCCTCTTTTTTATTTTAAGACAGCTTCTCTAAGTAACTAAGTCATCTAGGCTGGTTTCCGACTTGTGATCTTCCTGCCTCAGCCTCCCAGACTCATACTGCACACAGCACCACACCTGACTGCACTTTTGTACCTCTGTGTGTACTGGTAGATGCATGTGGCCAGGTGAGGGCACACAGTTGTCACATTCACATTCCATTGAGCATGAATAATTACTAATTCCTTTTTTTGTTGATGAGACCGTAAGGTATTTATGCTTCCAGCTTTATTTTAAATCTCCAGATTGCCTTCCAAAATAGTTGAACTAATTATCACGACTGTGATAAAGTACACTTAAAACTTATTAGCCGTCATTTTAATCACTGTTAAGTGTACAGTTCAGTGGCAGTCCTGACGTTGGCACTGTTGTACAGCTACACCACCATCCCCTGGACGTGGTGGCGCACGCCTGTCATCCCAGCCCTTGGGAAGCTGAGGCAGGAGACGCGCCGTGAGGTCTAGGCCAGCCTGGGCTACATAATGAACTCAAGGGCAGGCTGAACTGCCCAGCGAGACACTGACAAAAATAAATTTAAAAAAAGCAAAAATAAACTCCCTTTAACTTAAATTTATACACTGAATAATAATTTTTTTAAAAAAATAATATGCCATGAAACAGAGCAGTTCAGCTTTTTCATGACCTGATTTTCTTTGCATCTCGCTTTTTGGTGGGGTGCACTGGGGGGGAGGGAGAGCCTGGGGCTCTGCCCACTCGAGACTCCTCCTCCACCAGGCTATGGCCCCAGCCCTCCTGGATTTGCCCTAAATGCCATTCTGTGTCCCTGAACATTTACATTTCTCTCTCTCCCCCTCCCCCTCCCCTCCTTCCCCC